TTTTTTTTTTTTTAACTATGAAATGCTGTTAAGAAAACTCAGTTTGCCTTTTGAATGAAATTGATGCTTTTTCTCAGGTGGCTGTCACTGGTGTTATGAGGTGTCAGTGCTGATCCCTTAGGTTCTCTCCTGCCTCTCTACAGCCCTACGCTGACCTAAGCAGGTAGAAGGACCTATTTCTCAGGCATTGGGGTTAGCTGCTGGGATCCCAAGCTGCTGTCATTAGCTAATATGTCACAGGGGCTGGTGCTTAGGCTGTGTGGTTTCTACTGAGGCAAATGCTCTGCTCAGCACTGACCCCTCTGGCAGCCGGCCAGTCCTCCCTTACTACTCAGTGGCTCCTCTGTCTTCTACCCTCTCCTCTCCCCAAAAGAACCTGCTCTCTAGATTCTTTTGTTTCTCTTTCATAGCCTCTGGCCACCCACACTGTTTCTTCTGCCACCTTGAACTTGGCTCAGACCGGGAAGTGCCTTCCAGATTTGCCAGTCACATGAATGTTGAGTTCAGCATGCCCACAACCTCTGCCTCCAAAGCCGCTGTGAGATCCATCTCTGTGGAAGACAAGACTGACGTCAGGAAATGGGTTAATTATTCAGCACACTACAGCTACAAGGTACCTTGGGAGGCACCTGCAAGTGTTTCCACGTGTGTTGTCCATACCTGTTCACTCTCCCTTCTCACTCAGGAGGTCCTAGAAGAGGCTCTCCAAACAGAGCTGTGGAAGGGTCTGTTCTGGCTTGAATAATCTTTAGTGAGCAAGAGAAAGTGGCAGGGGGAAAGAAGCTGATGAAAGAGATAAAATGATTTTCAGTCATCATGAATAGCAGGAAAGAGCAATGGGTAAAGGGAGTATTATTCATCGCTCATAATGTAATTTGTGTTGTGAGTAGTGAACTTGGAATCCCAAGGAGTGTGGTCTCCTGTAATGAAGCCCTATTGCAGGGGCCTTGATCCAAGGGACATAGGGAATGTTTTCCTAAAGTTCAGATCAGCACCTGCCAATGGCCACTGCAGCGCTCACTCGAAGAATTTATGTCAACTCTAGGAATGGATGGCATGGATCTGAGTGGAGCTGAGACATAATTTCAAAAACCAGGCCAGCTTTTTGAGTGGCAGTGGGATCAGGGCTGTGGGAGAAAGAAATCGAGCTAGGATGTCCTGACATAAATAGCAATTATGTCCCAAAGGGCTAGAAACCCAAAGGGGGAGAATAATGCCAAAGGTGGGAAATGGGGGTTATCGAAGAAGACTTTACAAGTGGTTCAATCATTTTCCATTCGTAGTAATATTCTTGGAGTTATATATGGTGATTTATCCTTCCTCAAATTGCTTCCTCTGTTGTGTGGGCTCACACATGTAACTGCCAAGAACAAATACTCCATCTTGTGGCCTAAAAATAAAAAGCATCTTTCCTCACCCTGAATCTAGTCATCTATTCTGTCTAGAATTATTTCTAAGTCAATGTGGTATTGAGCGGAACTGCCTTAGTTATGAAATTCCTGAGCTCAAAGGATTCCCTGCCTGACTTGTCAAAGGCATCTGTTGAAGTTTGTCACTTTCAAGCAAGATTAATTCAATAATCCCTTAATAGCGGCTGCACTATTTGGCAGTAGATACAGGTCAAACTGTAAATAAACACTCCACTACTTATTAGTTTGGAGACTTAAAAAAAGAAAAGTAATGGAGAGGTATAAACAGTTACCAAGGAATTCCTTTGGTAAACCTTTTGGAGGTGTCTGTTGGACACCTCCAGTGCTGGTTTGTGGTAATAGATGAAGACTTGCCCCTGTCTTAAGCAGTAGAGCTAGGCAGGTGTCCAGGGTATGGTGGGAATATTCATAAGAGAAGACCAAACTCTACTATTGAGTCAAGAATGGGGTCACAGAAGAGGTGACCTTTGAGCAGCTCTGTACCACAAGGGGAGTGCATTTTCCAGGTGGACAGTGGGAGAAAGGAAATTACAGATCAAACAGAGGCCAGCTGCAAAGAGAGAAAGTCATAACACACACAGGGCTGGTAGCTTCAGTGTGGCTACAGACCCAAACATTAGCAACATTATAGGGTATCTCAAAAGGCCTAGTGTTCTCAGTTGGTTTATTTCCTTAGTGGGATTTTTTTAATCCTTCTTTTTGATATTTCTCTCCAACTATTCTTGGCAGGTGGAAATTGAACAAAAAAAGAGTTTGAAGCCAGACTTTGAAGGAGAAGAAGTGGAAAATCCCAAGGAGTGCGGGGTCCAGTGATGAAGCGCGACTGCAGGGCCTGACCTCACAGTCACACAGGCTCTTCCTGAATACCTGAGGTGCAAGTCAGTACCTGCCATGGCCATTCAGTGTGGGGGACAGTGGATGGCTCTTCCTGTCTGCGGTTACCTGCATTTTAACAGGAAACCCCGAGGTGGTTGCTTGGAGAGGCTCTCCTCAGGCCTGAAGCACCTGGTTCACCTGACTTTGGGGGCTGATTCTCTACTGAAGCCTCCTGTCTGGCTTATCCTTGGCACTTGGTGCAGTTTGATGTGACTGTTAGAGTCAGGAATTGAACCTCCCACATCAGTGTTGGCACAATTACCTTCTGATGTTCATCTGTCGCTCACATGAGTTTCTGGAAAATACAGTCTTAAGAATGAATTAGCTAAGAATCCCTCCCTACGGTCCCTCTAGGGAAAATTCAGAAAAATCACAAGACAAATTTCTCTGTGGGTCTGCTAGGCCTTTCATAGTAGGTGTCTCCATTTTTTCAATGTTAATACTATGCAGCAGATGTTTCTGAGATGCTCCAACCTGTTTCGATAGATTCCTTTTCCTTCTGTGATTAGCTCCCCATTCTACAAAAAGGGAAAGCAAAAAATTGAGCTTCTTTTTCTTCATCTGGGGAAACAGGACAGTAATTACCAAACTATGTTTAAGTCAGAAGGTAGTTGCAATCTTAGTGAATTCCCAAATTCACACTGAAAAAATACTGGCAATTCTGATTCCTGAAACAAAGAGATCAATCAATGAATTATTCCTCAGGCATCTGTCATGGGCATTTGGGAATTCTTTTTGTACCTCATGGACAAGAGACAGTTGTATGTCTCTTTAACTCAAACTTCATAGAAAACATAAGCTCAAAAGATCATTTTAAAAAGTGTTCCTATGCACTTTTCCCCAAATTCAGAGTTTGATAATCGCAATATCATAACAAATCTAAAAGGCAGGAGATGCTGGGGTAGAGACTGAAAAAAGCCATATTTTTCTAATGTTAGGAACATCAAAGCCTCATTCCAGGGGTCCAGGAGTCTCCTTCCCCTTCATCTGTTCTTGTTCACTTTCTGTACCTGTTTCTGGTCTGTACCTTGGTGTTTTCTTACCATCCAAGGAACTGTACTGTCCATCCCAAAGGGGACACCTCCCTAGTAATGTAAAGGCAGCTTTCTGTTTGCCTTCCTGTTGCTCTCACAAAGAAAGAACCTTATTGGGTTTGTACATAACACATAAATAGACAATATATCTAGTGTTGACTTGCAGATTCAGGCTTAACTTACTTGATGAACATCCACTGAATCCTAACTACATGCAGACACTAGAAATCATTATCGTTTTTTAAAATACCTGAACATAAAAGGATGCAATAGAAGAGGCACTAATGAGGACCCTCCTATTCTGTTTTTTTCCAGTGCAACCCTCTTTTAAAAAAAGTACCCAGTGATGTGCTTGTGTGTGTATGTGTTTTCAGAAGTTTTTTATATGTGTGTGTTGATGGGAGGGTGTTACAAAGTACTGGTTTCATCACCATTCATTCAGAAATGTTTTCTTAGCTAAATGGAGTTGAATTTTGAATCCTGATTGACAGAGTTAATGCTTTTAAGCTGTGTTACTACAAGTCCAGGGAGCCCCGCATGCTGCATTTCTCAGCCCACATCTGGGTGGAGGGTTGGGCTTAATACTGGGTACCACATTTTAAGAGAGATCTTAAAAGTCTGATTAAGTCCAGAGGTAGGGGACCAGAGTTTGAAGGATCTGATTATATAAAGAACAGGGAAATAGTTCCCCTAAAGAGTAGAAGGTGTAGCTGAAAGAGTACAGAGAAAGAGGGAATGATATAATAATTACCTAGAAATATCTGTTGGGTTCTAAAAAGGAAAAGGCGTTAGATTTATTCCACATAGCTGCAAAGGGCAAAAATAGGTATAAAGAAGAAATTTATAAATGACAGATGTCTGCTTCAATATAAGAAATAATTTTCTAAAATGAATTGTTCTAAAGAAAAGTAGACTCATGTCATAAATTTTCATGTTCCTGCAGATGCCTGAAGGTTAAAATAACTATTTATCCCGGAGGCTGTAAAAGGGAGCCTTATGTTGGATTTGGACACGACTACCAAGATCACTTCTGCAAATAGGATTAATCTCGGTAGTATAGGACACTTCTCATGCTCTTTGAGATAGAGTGTAGTTCCTGGAGGACTTTGTCAAGTAAGGACCCCATGATATATTCCTTCCCCTGTTGCTCTGAAGGCACATGATAGGTCTTCATACAAATACCAGGGTGGGGTGAAGAGTTGGCAAGGGCATCCCAAGGTTAGCACCTTCTCAAGATCTCTGCCCTCCTGCTTAGTCATAAGTGTTTTGCTTATTGTACCTTTTCCCCATTAGTTAATTTTCATTGCCTCTGTTCGTTAAGCAGACTTTTTTTTTTTTTACCAAAAGTTCTGAAAATCCTTTCTATGCTATCTACATTCAATAAGCACATTATTAATGTCAAAAAAACCTATCACCGTGTTCAAATTTTTTTTCTTCTACTGTTCTTAGGAAACTGGTTAATGGTAGCATTTAGGAGCTTGGGGAATAAAATACTATATGTATTACAAACCTACATTTTTTTTGCTAATAACCGACATAGAAAATAAAGTTGAACAAATTATCTTTTTAATATGCAAATTCTAAGTTTGCCATCCTGGACCTGGATTTGTGTGTGCTTGTGGTCACAAATAATCCTTGTCTGTATTATCAATAATGGAAAAATATTAAAAGTTCACTTTACCACCACATGGTATTACTCTAGAATACAAATAAGATACATGATATCACGAGCTGTGCTTTCTTTTGAATTGAGTAGCCCAAAAGAGGGCAGGAAATGCTCTCTGTCCAGCCAGAGAATATGCAGTATTAAGAGCAGTGGGAACTATTGAGACCCTTGCAAATACAGTACTGGCTATTTCACATCAAAACTTGCATTTCACTTACATTAAACATTATCAGGACAGGTGTGTGTTTGCTTTCGTATTTGGTCCTCCACACTTGTCTTACTTTCTGCCTTTCTGGCAAGACTCAACATGTTGAGAGTATTTTTCATTTTAAAATATTTCTTATTTGAAATAAGTTATTCCTATACAAGTATAGTGGATAAAGTTAGTTTATTTCTCCTAGAACCTTACATTCCCAAGAAATGTTTCTGTGAAGGCAAGGAATGTATTTTATTTTTTACTTTTAAGACATAGCACAAAACTCAGAATATACAGCTTTCAGTCACCTTAAATCCTTGTTCATCGGGCAGACCTTCATAAAATAAAGGGAAATAATTTGGTATATATTAAATTTTTACTGAAAGAATTCTGACCTTGATACCCCAGGACTACTTAAACTCTAACTTGTCATCAAATGTAAAAGCCAGCAAAGCAGTAAGCTAGTGTGCTCTTATTTTCTGGAGGACTTAAAAATTATTTTCTTGCCTTTTATCCCTGTCTCCACTATCATCTAATGACTAGTTGTCACCATGTAGCCACTTAAAATGCAGCTGAATTTGAACTACAATCTACCTTAGTCATGTTGGAAAACATTTTTGAGCCCAAAGATTTTAAGTAGCACAGATAATCTTCCACAGCAGATTATTGATTCAGTTTTGTTCCTGCAAGTCACACAGATATGCAAGCAGGAGCCTAACCTATTAAAATGATCAGCATGAGAAGAAGGTGAGAGAGGGCACATCCAGGCTTAGTGAGCAAGATCTTTGTGGCCCCCACCTAAGTCACTGGCCATTGTCACAGTTAGTATGTTGTCACCATAGTCAGAGTTAGAAAGGCAAAGCTAGTGAGATTGAGATCAAGGTTTCTGAGCTGATTGTATGTCATTGTAAGTTTTGCAATGGGAAAGCAGACAGTGATCTGAAATGTTTCCCAAGAGCCGTAAGAACATGAAGTTGATTTGAATAAAAACACCACAATCGAAACTACTCTTAAAAATTCTGTCAGTAAATTTAACTTTTCTGTGAATGATGATGATGAATTAATTCTAGCATATCCAGAGCATAGGTCATGTAAAAAAAATGCCATTTAACAGAAAATTCAGACAAAACTGACCTCAAAAATTAAATCTACCAAAAATATCTAGTAACTGAGTCATCTCTAACACCACACTACCAAACCCATCCAAACCATGACAGCTCTTTGTATAAAATTAGGCACGCATTCTTGCCAAGTTCTAAAGAATTTTTCTAAACATTTCCAATGTCTGAAGTGCAAATTCCCTACAAATCACTATCTCTTAATTTGACTCATTGTAAATGAAATCTGCTTTGGATATTGTGATGCATATTTATGTATTTAAAGAACTAAAAGTGTATGAGATGGATAAGGCAGACATAAATGTAAAACAGAATGTGTGTGCTAGTTATATTTTGCCATGCATTAACTAAAGCAGGAGTGTGGCATTTTGCTATTTTCCAGTGTGCCTTAGCAAATCAGATTGTCTGGCCCTAAGGTGTTGTTTGAAGAATTGAAAAAAACAACTGAAACTTTGGACTTACAGGCTTATGAAGGTAGAAACTATACTAAAAAGGTATTTGGAAGTGCTTGAGAGAAGCAAATAATTATTGTAAGTAATAAAAGGCTGCAGATGAGTAGATCCAAAAAACTAATTTCAATATGAAAAGAAAATATAAAGAAAAGATAGATATAACATTGACCACCAAACCTCAAACTACTGGAATTAGAGAACATCCTTTAAAGGTTAAAATAAGGAGCCTTAGGAAAAATACAAGGTTCATAGCAGGGATCCTCAATGCAATTAGTAGGATTGAGCAAGTATTTATCAAGAATCTAGTTAAAGTGCTGTGCTGGCAGCCAGCTTCCCTAAAGGGAGCAAAGGTCAAACACAAGGACAATGAGTAGTCATGGAAGTAATGCCATGAAAACTGGGATGTCTGTGCATCCTTAAAAGGGATACAAACAGAGAAAATCTCCATGTGCATTAAGTGACTGGCTGTTTCCCTCTTGGTCTTCAGTGATTCAGCTGAACAAGTGAGGAAAATGGACTAGTTCCTTCCAGGCCATTCCAACTCCACTTTTATTGGTTACTTTACAAAATAGCCTTTGGCACCACTATCACTGATACTTCATGTCAATGGGACTCTTCACAAAGCCTTAAGAACCAAGATACATACATTTTCAAGATTAGGAAAAATCAGCTACACCCTCTTTTCATCTCTGCCCTTTATCATCTTCCCAGACAACAGAAACACAGAAAGATGCAGCAATCCTCTATTTTGTAGTTGCCTTCAAAGCATAGATTAAAATGGAGACTCAAAGGGACAGGCATGACTAGTGTAACCAGTGCTCAGGAAGGCCCACCAGCAGTGCCCAGCATGACAGTGGC